TTATATATATATAATTAATATAATAATACTATACTAGCTACAGCAGCGACACTTACGATTCAGGTATAATAATATGTATATATATATATATACGCTATATACGCACGATAGTCTATATAAAAAGTTAATATATGCATGTATATATATATATATATATATATATACATATATGGCATATATATATATATATATATCTATATATATATATATGCCAACACATACATACATACTGTATATATACACACATACATGTTCTTTTTGTCGGCCATGAATATGCGTATATTAATTATATATATATATATACACGCTATATACGCGCATATATATATATATGTGCGTATTTTATATCTGTACATTACATAAAGCTACGCAGAGTCAGTCAACCATAGTCCGATCATATTCAATTATATATTAATATATATAAATAAATAAATTGCATGAAATGATTTAATTCTAATTAATATATATACTATAATATATAATATAATATAATATCATATAATATAATATATATATATATATATATATATATATATATATCCATATTATATAATCAATGACGCCAAATCTAGGCGATGCTGCTAGCCAAGCCACCAGGGCAACAACATAAGAATGCCATGCTGCCCAACGCCGAAAAATAGCCAGCCATTAGGTCCTGAGCGTTTTTTTTTAATTTAGCGTCCTTCTGAAAAACCCTCGAAAGTAGGCCAAAACACAAAGACAGTAAAAAGGCGTAGAAAGACAGTAAAAAGGCATAGAACGACAGTAAAAAGGCGTAGAACGACATAGTTTTGCAAACCCTAAAAATTGACGTGAACCTTCCGACAAGTTCCGACGCTGTGCGTGCCCGATTCAAAATACCGGCCCAGATCAAACGCATCAAAACAAACAAGAACGCAGAAACGAAACCAACATCAAGGACGCAGATTTGCCGAGCCCCATCAGATCAGAGCAGTGTCGACTGAATCAGCCCCATTGCCGGCGCCTTCTGCTGCAGCTGCTGAGCATGGTCATGCTTTATATAAACGCACAGGATGTTATGCGTTTTGTCGATCGTGATTCATACCGTGCTACAGAAATATTTGCAACTTGTACCAAGCAAGCAGTAGATCCAGCCAGGGATCCATCGTTTAATATAGATTCATTTAGTGGCCAATTGGGTTTGCAGGGTACCTGATCAGGCCGCTTGTCCGGAAGGCCTACCTACGCTTCATACGGTACTACAGTAGACATGTACATTACATTACATATTATATACATATCGATATCTATATACACATATATATAATGTGTTCGCAACTACAAATTAACAGGTTCTTGAGAATCCTCGATCAAATGCGTTTGCTCTATATAGATCTACTACATTGGTATATGTGTGAATAACCTTGACTAGACTCCATCCCTGGATACAGTTTTAATTAACGACGTATATCAGTTGGCCGAAGCCGAATGCTTGTCTTTTCAGGGCTGCTGTGTCCCAACGACATACTTAATTATAAGGCTTCGAGGCATCGTTGCAGGGATGGCGCCATCCGCTGCAGTCCGGAAAGCCATGGAAGCAGCCCAGCAGTTGAAGAAGATGGCTGAGAGCAGGTGGGCCCATCCTTGGATAGGGTGAGGAATCCATGTAGGGAAGTGACTACGAACTAATCGATAATATATTATGTTTGCTAAACACAGCTAAAACCAAGAATTCATTCCCCATGAGCTTCTATCGGGTCTGGGATCAAAGGACTGAGGCCTACTGACCTGAGGACTGTAGGTTTCCGTGAGCATGTGCGCACGACATGACTGTATATTTGTGTGTGTTTTCTCGAGTGTGTGTGCTCAAGCTAGCAACCTAAGGTGAAGGGGGCCGATATGCATACGTGTATGTCTGTGCCTGTGTACAGGGATAGATGATGTATATACACACACATATATATATATACATATCTGTATATATACATATTTATCTAGATATGCATGTACATATATTGATTTGTTAACTTATTCGTTTCTCCTGTATATATGTATATACATACATACACACATGCAGATGCCCAGGAGCCAGTTTTGTGGAGATAAGTTATAAACAGAAGGAGTCCTGGGCTTAGGAGCTCGAAAGATCGTTTATAAGTGCTTAAAACCCCAAGGCCTGAAAACTTAAAACACCAAACCGCAGAACTCCAAGCCCTAAAACCCCAAAGCGCAAAGCCCAGGCCCTAAAACCCTAAAACCCCAAAACCCCAAGCCCTAAACCCATACAGCTGCAAACCCCCAAACCCCAAGGCCTACAATGCTGAAGCCCCAAACCCCAGCACTCCAAGAACCTCCCAAAAAACCCCAAACCCAAAACCTAATGGCCAAGTTTGCAAGCCAAAAGCCCGAAACCCCAAAATTCGAAGCCCTAGCCCTAAATAACTTGCAAACCCGAAACCCGGAGGCCTAAAACCCTAAAGCCCCCAAGCCCAAGCCCGAACCCCTGAAGCCCCACTTCCCAAAACATCCCCAAGCCCTCAAACCCTAAAGTCCGAAACCCAACATTGCAAAAGCTTGTCTCGTGCAGACTAGACCCTAAACCAGGACGAAGACTTCGCCACCTGATCCAGCTGCTGCTGAGAATCCAGGCCGGTCAATAGTTGTAAGTTATACTAGATATATAACTAAGGGCAAATCATCGACTGGGTTGCTTCGTGAAACAATCCTCGTCCTAATCCCATGGCCCATTTTTCTATCCACAATAGCAACCCCAGTGTGTGGGGATGATCATCATGACAGGAGAAGAAGTGAAGACGGATGGTTCACCTGTACCTGCGAGCACGCCACCAAAGACCCCAGCACCTGTGACCAGACGAACCTCCGACCTCAGCACGGATCGTAGCAGTGCAACGAAACAAAGCCTCCCCGGCTCTTTGAAAGCCAAAGCCAAGGCTCTCATGAAACCCAGAGGAAAGCTTAATAAGGGCACAAAGATGAAAGGAAAAGGAAAAGGAAAGGGCAGCAAGGACCAGGCCAGCACACGGCTCCGTGGCAAGCAGCCTGCCCCACAGAACATCGGTGAGAATGGAGATGCAGCTGCAAAGGTCCAAGAGGCCCTGCAGAGGGCCAGCACCGCTGATCAAATGAAGACCCCCGAGCTCAGTGGCTTGCCGAACAAGAAGAGGAGTAAGAAGCAAGAGATGACAGATGCAGAGAAAGCCCAGCTAGCATTGCTGAAGGTGAACCCAGGCCTGAAGGCTGCAGCAGCTGTGGCTGCCACGGCTCAGACCTCGGAGGAGGAATCTGAGCAGAAGCCAGAGGAGGCATGCCGGAAGAAGAAGGGACAGAATCGCAAGGAGTATGCGAGGAAGCGCGCCTCATTCTACAGAAGCTTGAGAAGTCGGGCGCCTAATTTCTCGTATAGATCAATTCAATATTTCATGACTTTCAGTCTCCAGCTTCGAGACCCTGGTAGTTGCAGTTGCCACCCCGCAAGTATTCAGGCTCTCGCACACCCTTTGAAATCCGTGCTGCTGGATTCGAAGCCACTGGAAGCTTCATGGCTGCAGATACCAAGATAAAGATATTACCACACCAGGGATGCTTGAAATCAGTGTGACTGAGCTTCATGCGTTTGGTAATGCAAGTACTGTTGAACATGTACCATGGCTCCATAATTTATGAACTGTAAAACACCAAGGCTCGAGTATGAGGATACCCAAGCAAACTTTGTATTGTTATCTGAACATTATATATAAATCTGTATGTAGCCAGATGCTCATCTTGGGATGATGCAATTGTGCAGGTTCTTCGACCCTTGACAGGATTTGCTGTTTGGGTAAGGGATATTGAAAATCCGGGTGTTAGTACAATAGCCCCTAGGGCCCTTAGATAGATGACCCTGAACACCCACAGTGACCCCACACGAAATGAGTTCCTGGAGCCCGCCTGGCCTCTAGAATCGACTTCCCAGGATACTCTTCTAGTCAACCTGAACGGCCCTAAACCTGTCTTCCTTGGACCTCCTAGTCTTGATGAGGTTTGCGAGAGTGTTCGAATAAAAAAGATTGAACATCAAGCCTCAATGCCTAGCAATCAATCCCAAATCTCCAACCTTACACCCTCTAGGCCTATTGCCCAGCCAACCTGTTCAAGCCAAAGCCTCATGTCCAAGCCAAGTGTCGCGGCTTCACCTCTGGCTGTGGGGATGTCTTACCTTTGATTGTAGAATTCCTATACCAATATGTGGGTGTGTGTGTGTGTGACTTTATATGTATATATGTGTTTATATACATGCATGTGTATATATATATATATGTATACATATACATATACATATACATATACATATACATATACATATACATATACATATACATATACATATACATATCTATTACACACATATATATATACAACTACCCATTTTCTTCATTCCTATCCATTTATATGTTACAAAGGTACGTACAGGCTTTCAAGCTTCGATAATTATCACATTTGTACATCGTTTATGTGCCTCGATGGTGGCTTCAGTGGGTTTCCCAGCTCTTCTCGAGCCACACGTGTTGCTAAGGATAAAGTTTCTGCAGGTTTTGGGGGGCTGGTTGGAATAGGCAATGGATGGACGTTATGAGCCGTGTTTCGTAGATTTTGCACAGTTGGAAGGTCTTAACAAACTTTGGAAAGTTGGCCGCAGCTGGAATTCGAAGTACGTATGTACATACTATACACACACAATAATAATGATGACAATATAGTATGTAGTACGTACTAGAAAATGCGTAGAAACATACATGCATCTTTTGTACGCAAACATGCCAATATGTTACTATTGTTTCCACTTAGATCTGAGCTTAGATTGAGAAACTTCCTCATCCTAGGACATTTATACAGGTATGTGCATGCTGATTGCCAAAGTCATGGGGGGTTTCTAGTTTAGAATATCAAACCGGCGAACAGGTTCTGAATCCTGAATAAATGCAAAGATCTACACTAGATTATGAATTCTTCTGTTGTCTGCAAGTGCAGGCCAGGAGCAGATGGCGGTGCTTTGGGAAGGGTGGGTGCAGTGCCAGGGAAACTGGCACTCCAGTGAGCTGCTGCTCACCTTGCAGAGCAGCCGCAAGAACAAGAGACGTGGAGCGCGGCGATGGATGACCGTGAAGGAGCTCGTAGACCGCTACGGCCAGGAGGTCGCCGACGAGGTTGTGGAATACAAGTCCAGGGATCCGGTTCTCCGAAAGACTCAGATCAAGTGCCATCCAGATTGCCCTCGACTCATGCTGTACCTATGCTTCGACTTCGAGTGCGAGGAAGAAGAGGAAGAGGACATTCTTGGTTACATGGCATCGGCCGTGTACAGAGACGGTGGGCATGAGGAAGGCGGACGCTCGAGGAAGCGAAAGCACGAGAGCGAGGCTGAGTCTGACAGCTCGGAGAGCAGCAGCTCATCCTCGAGTGAGGAGAAGCGCAGCAAGAAGAAAAAAAAGAAGGACAAGAAGGACAAGAAGGACAAGAAGAAGCAGGGAGGAAAGAAGCCGACAGCTGAGCAGCTTGAGCGCAAGGCTGCAGAGGAGAAGAAGAAAGAGCAGGAGAAAGAGGAAAGGCGCCAAGAGCGCCAAAACTTGAAGGAAGAGAAGCAGAGAGACAGAGAGCTCGAGCGCAAGAGGCAGACAATCGTCAAAGATGCAAAGAAGGTGGCATGTGTGCATAGTTCGAACACCATGTCTCCGTGTGTAGGAATGTTCTAAATAATTGATAACTTAGTAGGTTAAGTAGTGTTATTATGTTGGTTTTTTTTACATAGATGTGAAGGGGGGTGTGCTTCAAGGGCCGTTTGGTGATGAATTGGGTCCGAATCGGTGAAGGACAGTGTGCTCTAGTGGCTTTGACTGTTCAGTGTAACGAGGGGCCCAGGGCAATCCAATGAGAATCATAATATTGCCAATTACTGTGAACTCTCCTGCTCGCATTTTCTCTCCTCAAACCCTATATGCCGGTAAATTCAAAGGTTGGTGTAAGCATATGATGACAAGTGGCCAGGGTGGCTGTTGGAGTCGTTACCATTGCATTGGGTACGATTGATACGATGGACCCCCAAACCCTGTAAACCTCTCAACCTTTAACCAAAAAGCCTGGAGCAAGTTGTAATGTTCTATACCCTCAGGCCTAAACTTCAGATGTATGTGTTACATGTATATACGAACACAAATCATGCATGTCTATATATAGACATATGTATGTATGTGTGCACGTAATAAACACATAGATCGATCAAGACCTAGTAGTGTAGATCATGACCATGTATGCATGCATGTCTTATGTGCAGTTGCTGTTTTCTTGTATGAAGAAAGACAACGTACAAACGATGGAACCGCACAACCCTACTTTCAATTATCCGAAGATGTAGGTATATAAAACTCCACCATTACCCACTCCCGAAATATGCTCCAGTCGAAGCTTCGCACTCCAATTTCGTATCACAGGCCATCGACACGCTGAATATCAAGATCCAAGATGCCGTCAAGCGGGAGGCGAAGATCGCCGCTGCAAAGATGTTCGATCCTCAGATCACGGGCCCATAGGCTTCTAGTACACAAGCTGAAGCAAACCTTTGTCACACAGGTCCCCAAACCTGTCACCTGTGTGATAATTGTCTCCCATTTGGATACCCTGCATGACTTGTACATTGTATTAGTGGCAGGTAGGCCATGGGTTCAGTGGGTGAGGTGCTCAGGTTTGTTACGGGACACAACATATCTGCATACATGCATGTGTGCATGCATGCATGCATACAGACAGACAAACAGACAGACAGACAGACTTAATGTATTAAATATGCACATACTTATATATGTATGTATATATATATATATTTATATGTATCTGTGTTTATATATATATATGACGAATGTGCTGTTGGCTTTTAGCTTCGGAGCTCCAAGGGAAGAACACGCCACAGTCAAAAGCCCAGTTTCCTGGAATCCGCAGGCCCCAGCGGCCCATATCCAGCCCTAAGAGACACATAGCAGTAGTAGTAGTAGCAGTAGTCGTAGCAGTACTAGTAGTAGTAGTAGTAGTAGTAGTAGTAGTAGTAGTAGTAGTAGTAGTCGTAGTAGTAGTAGTAGTAGTACTATCGCTCCAGTCGCATGCTAATTCAATCCTGCATAGAATTCTAAACGAAGATGCTTCTATGTGCCCCAAAAGCTAACAGCCAACGAACTTAAGACAGAAGCCAATAATCCCTTTCGAATAGTCGCCAATCAAACCCATACTGCTTTTGCATAGTTGATCTATAGACTCGGTCGAGAAAGAAACCCAACAATGCACAGCAAACAGTATGCGGTAAACAGCTAGTGTGGCGAGAACTTTTAGAAGACACTTGAATCAAAGTTCTGGTCCAGGAAAGCACCGAGCCGCGATATCCTCAAGAAGGAGATCTGTGACCAGAAGGTCGTTTTGCAGGGAATGCGCGACACTTTGCAGGCCAAGTGTGATTCTGAAGCGAAGGCCAGGTAGCTGATCTGTGTATTCCCATGTATTCATGGCTTCAAATGAATTGATTAAGCTATGGGGTCTTGGTGGTAGGGTATTGGTACATGGTGGTACATGGCAAGGTGCCACCAAGTGTCGTGCAAAGGGGCAGGATCCACAACCCAGCTTGGGATGTCCTTGTTCTGTATCTGCACAGTTCTTATCTTCGCTTCTGGAGGCCGATGAGATTGGAAAGCTGGTGGGCGATGCCAAGAAGAAGATGAGTGAGTTTGGTAAGTTTATGCGGGACATGCAATAGCTCTGCACTGCCCATCCAAGTGGTAAGTGCTACCGCTAAAGGAATTATATAGAGATCTAAGCATGCACTGCATTAGGTTCATCATGACTTGATGGTTTCTGTACTCTCGTTTCTGTCATCATACCGTAGTTGTAGTGGTATGTGCGGGACTGCTCATGCTAGTGCTGGTGGTGCCAGTGCTGGTGTTGGTTGCGAGCTAGCTGTAGTTTCTGGTAGTGGTATACTTGTTGGCATATCCGTGACAACTGTATCGGTAATCAGGGTCGCCCGGGATTAGGGTTTTTAGGTATCGGGCTGCATCTTGCTATCTATGCCTTGATGCCAGAACAGCCTGCGCCACGGATCCTGAAGCTGTCAGTCATAATGTATAGAAGCCTGTGAGCCTCTCAGCCAACAGAATAGACCTTTATGCCAAAAAGTACAACAAGAACAACAATCGTAAGGCCTTGTGTATCGACTAAGTGCCTCCAGCTGTACATTGAAACCGACGACGAACATCACTAACTTGTGTGACAAGCACTACTAGTACTACTAGTATTACTACTAGCACTGCTAGTATACTACTACTAGTGCTAGTACTAGTACTAGTACCTAGTAGTAGTAGTACTACTACTACTACTACTACTACTACTACTACTTCTACTACTACGACGATACTGATCATATATATATATATGTATAAGATACAAATATGTGTCAATGTTTTTGTTTCGCCATACATTACTGTTCTAGCTAGTCCTACCATGAGAAGGACAATAACTGATACAACTAGGACTACCATTTCTGGCTCTAGGCCTAACTCCATACGCCCCAAGCCCTCACTTCCCTAAGTCCGAATTCGGAAATGCCTGGACCCTATAGGTCACTCCCCTCGACCTTAGCGCTTAAACCCTAATCCCAATCAACCCTATCTAAATTACCCTAAACCCCAAATTCTACCAAGACCCAAAGCCTCTACTCCCTGAACCTTGGGCAAAAAAACTAAACTCCACAGCCGACACCTAAAGGCGACCGAAGCTTGAGACCCCAAGTTGACAATTTTGGTCAGCTGGCCATGTAGGTGCCTTAATAATTGGAATGGGTTTGTGGGGCTTCTAAACTATGAATAGACTAAGGACCCTGAACCATAGTATTACGATATATTGAGGTGTCTATATCTATAAAAGGGACTGCAAGTGTCGAGTTTGGGGGTTTCGGCTGGAGTCGGGTTGCAGCTTAAAGTTAGAACTAAATTCGACAGAGCTAGACTAGATCGAACTGAAGCATGGGCTTGGGATGCAGATCTGACGCTCAGCTCATCGTAGCGACTTTCGCTGCGATGATTTTGCCGTCTTTGGCGACTCACCTTGTGCACTGCACAGCAGCAGTGCCAATAAGGGGTGTGATGCCTGACTGAGCTTAGCCTACATGCTTGCTGTGGCCTCCTGTGTTTCTTAAGCTATATATTATTGTCTATTTATAGTACACTGCCAAGGTAACGAGTTACATGTCCTTCTAGCTGCTTGTAGATGTCATGTGATATCCTATAGTTCGTGTGCGCCGGTCCGCCCAAGCGAAGACTACACTATTACTTTGACTGCAGCTCACAGCGGCTTTGTAGGATGCTCAGTACTGTGGCATCTTTTGGGTGATCGGGGAATCCTGATCTTCTCTGGGGGGAACAACCTCACGAGTGGCTCTCTAGGCTTCAAAAGCAAGTGTGAAGAAATTGGATTGTCTTGCACGTGGGCCTCTGGAATGCAGTGCTGCTTTGATTGTGGGTCGAGGGTCCTGCTAGCACATACCTGGTCCAGCTAACGTTGTCTACCTGGCCGGAGGCAACGTTGTGCAGAAAGCCATGGATGATGTTGCATCTGGTGCTGCTTGGCTTGACAGTCTGCATCCAAGAGCACTTCTTAGCCTAAAGGGTTCAGCAATGTATTTGTAAGTTCACTACGTTATTGGGGGACATCCGAGCAACACTTAGTGGGTAGGTGTGTTGTTCAAGTCCAACTTCTAGATCTATTGGATGCTGAAACAAAGACATATAGAAACACAGGAATAACAGTCTCAGGTTTACAGCCAAAGATGCAAGTCTTCTTGCAATCATCCTCCATCAGGGTCTGAGCCAGCCATGATACTACTGTTGCTTTCCTTCTTTCGGGTCATGAGTGCATGCAATGAATGTGTGTACACTAGTACACTGACTGATGGGGTCCAGTTTGGGTGATCTGTTCGTGTGGTGTCTTTTTTCTAGGTTCTGCTACTTGGGTGCTACTAGTACTAGTGCCACTACTGAGCCGTACTAGTAAAATAAGCAGCAAACACTACCGGTCGAGTATTACCCCCCGACACCAGTAGTACTAGGACTACGATGACGACAGCTGCCATTGCTAGACTGCTATATGACCACTGCCACTATACTACTTCTGCTGCTATAGTACTAGTACCACCACTAGTATTTCTGATACTAGTACTATTATTACTACTATACTACTATACTACTATACTACTACTACTACTACTACTACTACTACTACTACTACTACTACTACCGCCACAACCACTACTACTACTACTACTACTGCTACTTCTACTACTGCTGCTACTACTACTACTGCTACTACTACTGCCGGTGCTGCTGCCACTGTTTCTATACTGCTGCTACTATTACTACTACTACTACTACTACTACTACTACTACTACTACTACTACTACTACTACTACTACTACTACACTGCTATGACGGCTACTACTACCGGCCTAGTGCCTAGTGCTACTACTACTGCTACTGCTGTTGCTACTGCCACTGCTTCTGCTACTGCTACCACTACTGCAAATACCGCTGTAATACTACTACTACTACTACTACTACTACTACTACTACTACTACTACTACTTACTACTACTACGACTACGACTACTACTACTACTACTACTACTACTACTACCACTTTTTACTAGTACTATTACTACTAATACCACTACCGCTACTACTACTACTACTACTACTACTACTACTACTTCTACTACTACAACTCGTGCTGCTGCTGCTGCTGCTGCTACGACTACTAGTACTACTACGACGACTACTACTATCAGTACTACAGGTACTGTGACTAGCACTACTACTCCTGCTACTACTAGTACTATTACTACTACTACTACTACTGCTACTACTACTACTACCACCAGTGCTATAAGTACTAGTCCTACCCTTACTACCACTATTGCGGTTACTACTAGGACTACTGCTAGTCTATCTATCTATCTATAATTATAATATTTATGGGCCTGGCCTCGTCGTAGAAACAGGAATGTGTGTACAGTGCGGCTTACTTCTGGGTATTGACATATGTATCTATGGTCCTGATCGACAGGTAAAGTACTGCTGGCCTATATATAATATCGGTATTGTAACTTGACCTACATAAAGACCAATTGCAGGACTCGGGTACAAGATGAGTGGTGTCAAACTGCAAAGAATTTCGTAGGATATGTGAAGGAACTTCATTCCCCAACACAGTTGAATCATATAAGCCAAGTAACCTTGCCAAATGTGTAGCTTCAGGCCGGCAGTGTGCAGAAAGGCATGGCATCCATCCGAGCCCATGTTGCAGTGCCTTGTCAATGCAAGTGCACGGCTTGTGCAGGGTATGGTTTGGGCAATTAGTGTAGTCTACTCGCTGACATGGTCGGAACAAGGCTGGTGTCATGGCCTAGTATAATGGTATTCTCAAGCATTTAGAAGATGACAATGTTTGACTATACTAATTCTATCCAAGTTAAGAGAGCTCCAGGCATGTAAATAAGTCTTCTACAGCAGGCTTTCCAAATCGTTCATGGTTTCGGAGGAGGTTCATCCACTGTATCTAAACCATTTGGTTCCAGCCTCTGACCCAGGTACCCCTAGCAAGAATTGTTATTTGTGTCGAAAGCTTTCGACACAAAGAACAATTCTCACTCTGTGTGTGTGTGCTGTTAGTTTCTACATGTTCTGACTTCCCCCCAACCCTCGACTGTACAGCTCTCCACATTCATGTGTGTGTGTGTTTGTGTTTGTGAGTGTGTTTCTATGTAGCGACAGCAAATGCTTCGACAGAGATCGATCGCAACTTGTCAGTGTAGCCAAGGCCTTCTACTGCCCGTTGCAGGTGCTAAGCAACATTTCCTAATGTGTGTCATAATAACATATTAAAACTAGTATGTCATAGTAACATATTAAACTCACGTGGGGGACGCCAAATGACCCTGGAAGCAGTACTCCACACAGATCGTATGTGCAAGTATGGGTATGCTTAGGACGCTGGGGCTGCTAGCGATGAGCTTTGCAAACGTCTCAGCAAGACATCTGGGAAGAACGACTCCCGCGACTTCTGGACTGCTGTCAAGCTTCCCATTGTTCCTCGGCCAGCAAGCTAGGACTTCAGAAGTCGTGAAAGCAGTTGATCGGAGAGATGGCCTCTGATCGGTTTACACACACACACACAGGGTCAAGTCATCGACTAAGTGACTAAGGAGACTGCAAAAATCCGAGCCCCAATTCTATCGGATGTCACCCCTGGACGCGAGGAGTGGACAACCCTTGAAATCATTGACCCACACGTTTTGGTTGCCTACCTATTCAACGAAGTAGGTGTACAAATAGACACAAGGCGTATCGAGGAGTATTGGCAACATCTTGCAGCCGTAAACTACCCCATGGCCACCTCCGACGCTACCAGCCTAGTGCACTATTGCCCACTCGGCCTTTATGGAGATGCAGCCAAAATTGTCATTGAGCATGGGCATTACCATTGCCTCGGCATCTTTATCAACTTGCCCCTCTGGAGACCGCGCAGCACTCGTTTTTCGAGGTTTCTCCTTTTCAGTTGCAAAGAAGAGTTATTGGTCCCGATGAAAACGCTCGACGCAGTCTTCGCCCGCCTCACCTGGTCAATCAATGTTTTGTATCATGGTTTCCACCCATCGATTGGCCCTAATGGGGAGAGACTTCCAATGTCCATGCTTTCCCGAGCTG